TTCTTGAAATGACCTGTTGTAATTAAATCAATGGGAATTGACTGAGCATTTTTGCAAAATGATATTTAAATCTTTTTTTTGGAATTGGAATAACGATCACAAACAATCTGACTTGTGTTTGTGATGGGGTTATTCTGAAAATTAAAAATTTGACAGACAGGCAAGTATTGTACTTTCTCTGACATCAATGCGAACGAGTCTTACATATATAGGTCTGGTATTTTCTAAGGTAAAAATGAACTACTATTTTAGATGCAAGTCCTGCTATCCGACCTGAAGTAATGGCTGAACAACACCAGGTTTCTCTGTCTCCTGTCTTTCATTCTTGTTTTAAAAGCCAGAAAAAGAACATGTTCATCATTGGAATCTCGTAAAAGTTTTATTTTTACTGCTCTGTGGAATTTCTTTAGTGGTTATAAAGTATAATCGCTGTGACAGAAGCCAGTTATAGATATGTTATATTTAAAGCTGAAAATCATGGATTTTTATCAGGAGGAGTTAGCTGCTCTGCCTGGTCGCAGTGTTTATAACCAAGATAAAATAAAGGTTTGAAGGAAAAGTGCTTTGGTTTTGTAATCATTACTTTAGTGAAGTGGTATGAATGTTTATATTGTATCCAAGGCATCTTTTACTGGTATCAATAGCATTTTAATACCCGCTTTATTATAGTCTCACATGATATCTGCTTGTTCCTGTTCAGGCTTGTTGGATGGGGCAGCTGCCTCTTTCCAACAGTCAGCGTGTTAAAACCTGAGTCGTCAGTCCATCACAGAGCCCACACAAACAAAACACAATCACTCACCCACACCCTCACACCTACGGGTAATTTAGAGTCACCAATTAACCTAACATGCTTTACTTTGTGCTGTGTGGGCACACCGGAGTACCCAGGGGAATCCTGCGCACAAAGAGGACTAACATCCAAACTCTGAACAGGAAAGCCCTGGGTGGGATTTGAACCCAGGACCTCGTTGCCTCCAGGCAGCCAAGCTAACATCTGCGTCATCATGCAGGCGCATTTTCTCTTTACAAAAGGAAGTGGTTGAATTTGGGTTTTCTTTGCTGCCACTTGGCTTGTATTCATTTGAGATGGTAATCAAACATGTGTTGTTGTTGTTGTCATACCTTCAGTGCTCTTTGTTAAGCGTCAGAATGTGTCTGGTATCCTGTCGGGAGGAGTCTGGACCAGAATCATCACCCAGTCTTCTAAATCGCTAGACATATGGCGCAGCCTTTGTGTCAATTGCACTCGGTGGGGTTTCGATGAACACAAGGTAGATTTGATTTTCCACTACTGTGTCTCTCAGCTGCAGTAAGCTGCAGCATTTTTTTTAGTGAGACGCAATAAAAATGTAGAAAATATGACTGAATATCATATTTCTCCTCCTTCTTCTATGCATTTTTTTAATACTCAAAGTAAATGGCAAAGCTTTCATTCTCTTTTTAATGTGACAAATCATGCTTAAGTGATTGGAAAAGACTTAGACTGAAGACGTATCCCTTGTTGTTTGCCAAAGACGAACAGTCGGAATAATCGGATTTGCCTTAGTATTAGCAAGTATTCCAAACGGATGAACGATTTGCCTCTCAGTTGATGCTGTTTTATTCAAAGCCAATGATATATTGTCTGGGAACTTTGTTACTAATCCAGATGTTAATTTTCCTCCCTTTCTCTTCCAGTAGATTGTTTTACCCTTGGGATTTTACTTTTTACACGTTCATTTACATCTTAAACGGATCAGACTGTGTAGAGTGAAATCTAATTCCTAAAGCCTGTTATGAATGCAGTCTAGCTCATTTAGTTCCTAACTGCACATTATTCCTGCATTTATTGACAAAAAACAAAGATTTTTTTTTTTTTTTTTTTTTTTCCCCCCTCTGATTTGATGATTTCCTGTCAGGTCTGAAGCATTATTACAAAACTATCAAACTTTATGTTTTGTGACTTTAAAATCATAAACATCAGTACATTTTGGATTGTTAAGTGATTGATGAGTACAAATTATTGCATGACTTAGAAGTAGATCCAGAGTGACGCATAGTTTATCTGTTGTGTGAAGGCCTTGGTGGTTTTGTGGGAGATCGTTGGAGAACAAACAGTATCATGAAGGACAACAAACACAACAGAAACTTCATTGATGGAGATACAGAGAGGTTTAAAGCAGATTTGAGTTATAAAACTGTATCCTAAGCTTTGGACTTTTCACAGAGAGCCGTTCAATAAATTTCCACAGCTCAGGTGGGAGACTCTGTGAAAAGTCCAACTTACTAGTTTTACTTGTGGACTCTGCAAATCTTACCCATTTAGAGCACAATACAACCACCTGGAAGGTCCAGTGGAGCAAAATGAAACTTTTTGGCTTACATCTCAGTGCTGCTTTGGAGAACTTACACCCTGAACATTTTGGTGAAATATTGATGAGGGCAGCTTTCCTGTTCTCTAGCTGCAACGAGGAAGCTGATGACTGTAGATACTTTGTAAGTAGTTCTGTCTTCCAGGGCAAATTTCCATCATCAGGGCAGAACTTCTTTCTTTTGTGATGTCCGACTGCTACTGCTCAATTTTTCAGAAGTAAAAAGTGGGACTTCTCTTGAGTTCTGAGGTCGAGTTTCTTTTGTAGTAGAAAATATTATGGACAGAAATACCATTGTTTCTTTGTTCTTTCTAGCTTGCCTAAAACAATATATTTTTCTGTCCTGGTAGGTTTTATGTGCAGAACTACAGAGCTACAGTGAAATGGTTTCTATCAAAGAAAATTCATCTTTTAGAATGACCCAGACCGAAGTTCAGTTGAGCAGAAGTGGTAGTACCTGGAAATTGATGTACAGACACTCGCCATTCAATCTCACTGAGCTCGCGTTGTCTTGATAAAAGAGAAAGGCAAAAACTTCAGTTTCTGTATGCAAACCTCCAAATATCTGTGGTTTCACTCGCAGTGAAAAGGTTTCCAAAGAGTCCTGATGCAGACTGCCTGAAGATGCACTTTAAATTTTTATATGTAAGAAAAAACAAACAATGGAAATCATGTATGATTTCTTTCCGCTTCGCAATCTTGAACTACTTGGTGTTTGTGTATCAAGTAAAATCCCAATAAAATATGTTGAAGCTTGTGATTATGTGGTAAATATGATACTGTTGCAGAGCATCAGAACTATTTTGACTGAATCAGGAGAATACATGAAACTTGAAATGAATTATTGCTTCAGTGTTAATTTTTTTTTATTTTTAGATTTCCAGCCCTTTTTTTTTATTTCAATTTGTTTTATCTGCGTCTCCTGATGCAATCAACAATATTTATTATTAAGGCAGCAGTAAGGCACTGCAGACTCTAATTGGGGCTTTGGATAAAAAGCAAGCAACATTTGATTTAATGGCTGCATCCCAAACAAGGTTTCATGGCTTGCAGTATGGCTCACTGTTTTATACCACTGAATCCCCCGAGGGAAAGACAGAGATGTCATCATTAGTGGGCAGTAGACTATGGTTGTGTTGACTGTGATGGCTGCAGAGGTCTATAACTTGGTCAGCCAAGTCTGTGGCCCAGCAACGGCTTTTACTGTCCATTTTCCCTGTCTGTCTGTCTGGGTTCCCATCTGGACACGTGGTCCAGTGCCAGTCTGCTCCCGCTGAATAAATTTGAGGAGCTAATGAGCAAGGAAGCTCTGCAAAGACCTGGGAAAGGGCAGCTCTTTCTCTTCTCCACCTCCGAGGAAAAGGGAGGGAAAAGTCGCTGTGGTCAATTTTATTAACTTGGCTGACCTTCACACAAACAATTAACATTTACTGAAAACGCATCCCCTCCCATTATCTTCCTCATCTCCATCTTAATCTTCAACCTCGCCGCCACCAACTGCATGTTGTTTTTATTCTGCTTGTACAAAAGAAATTTATCAGGCGGCAGCAAATTAATGGCAAAGCCTTTGCTTGCTTTTCATAGACAATCGCAAGGTGATGTGCATTATGCAGCAGAAGGTCGGCTCTCTGAAGGTCGCTGACATGTTCGGTAATTGGCTCTAGGCCACAACTCGGAATCAAAAAGCAACAATTACCAGCAGTGATTTTGTGACCTAATCTGACTTTTCACATAACCAGACAACTTCTAAATATTCTCTTTGACCACTGCTCCAACAGAAATAAATATATATGATGATTCATAGAAATAAAATATGCCGTTGGTTATTTCTGAGCTGTAAAAAAACAGACTTTTGTACTAATTAACCATTTGACATTACTGGATGAACTAGACTGGTAGATGAGGTGAAAAGTTAACTGAGCAGCATGTGAAAATATTTGTAGAGAATTTTGGATTACTTCAAATTCAGAAGTTTGCATATAATAAAATTACAGATCTTGTATCAGGTTGTCAGCCTAATATTAGTAAATTAACAACACTTAGTTTAATACGAAGCCCAATAGATTTATTTAAGATACAACTCAAACAGTCCAAGAAACTAAAACGTCTGAAAAAATAATTATTTACTTTCCCATTGAACCTATTTCATCTCACATTCAATGTAGCAAGGAGATTCTGTGAATTTATTTAGTAGCAAACAAAAAAATATTTTGCTTCCTTTAAGGATTATCAGGAAAAGCACTGGCGACTCTTTTCAGCACCAGGTGTGGGAGAAAAGGTACAACAAGGACATTTTGAAACACAAAAAAAAGCAGATTTTGTTGGAGGAAGTCTTCCTCTGAAGTTTTTGGGCTCTGCATCGATGTTATTTATTTTTCTTCCCAACATATGACAAGCAGAACAACAACATATATTCCTACGACACATACTGTCTGGAAAGAATATAAACATTCCACAAAAGGCTCAATTGAAATACTGTTTAATTAGGTAACACACGAAACGCACACTTGCTCTTTGGATTTGTTTCTTCTTTGTTTTCAGCTAAGCTGTCAGGCATTTTGTTCCTATCCTGACGAAAGCAGAAAATGAGAACTGCATTAACACTTATTTTCTTGTGTTTTTGTGTATGTGCCCTTTCATTTCCAGAACCTAATAAAGAACTTGCCTGAGCAGAAAGAACTGAGTGCTCTAGCGGAACTAAAAGGTGAATACGAGGAGCTTGTGGAGTCAGAGCAGTTCGGCATTGTGGTAAGTATAATTAGCTCTTGCCGAGTGGATTTTTGCACAGTGTATCCAGTCACACTCGTACTTTATCTTCAAACACTTTCCGACATGCACAGTTAAACATTGTATTATTATTATTTTTTTTCCCCAAAAGTTCTGTTTGGTCAGTAAGCCAGAATCAGGATTTATTTATTTATTTTTTTTTTCTGGAGAGCAGTAATTTTTAATCAAACAAAAAAACAAACAAAAAGCTCTCAAACGGCGTCAAAACTGATAGTTCCGTCTCCAAATGACAGCGGCTTTTGTTGAAAGTCTTTTTGACTTGAGCAAAGAACAGTTCAATCAGTTCTGATGAGCGTTCAGCATTAAGAACTTTGTGGATGCGGCTCTTTGACATGAGCTGTCAATGTCATCTCGTGATAAAATCACCCCCTCAGGCTGTGTATGAATCCTGCCTGTTTAAAGGCCTTTGAAAAGCGCTCAGCTGTAGGCAACCAGCCTGGTGATGTATCCCAAAACTCCTATCAATTTACAATGAACATCCAAAAGTTCGATCTTCTCCACTTGCATAATAAATAACGCTGCTGCTGTTATATTCTCTTCTTGACACATGGTCTCCAGAAAGTAACCTGTTTCTTTTTTTTTACTCAAAGTAGCTTTTAAACAAAGAATGATTTATGTGTTGGGATACAGTCTGCAGTATTTTATCTATATATCTCAAGTTAATTGACATTGTTCATAACTTTTGCATAGTAATGGTAAAAGAAAGAAGGAATTTTTAAAAAGTAATTTGTATTTGTCAATGAATCATATCCTGGTGAGGTCAATGGAGTGGTGAATGTTGCTGGTACCTCAATGAATGGTTCTGAGGTTAAAGATAAAGACATCTTATCTTTAACCATTTTTATTAGCTAGAATTTAGATGCACATTTTACATTCAATTTAACTGAATAATATCAAACTTTCATATTGCTCTTGTGCAGTCTGAAAATAATAATGTATTTTCCAGTATATAAAGTTTATTTTTTGCTCTTTCACTGTTTTTCTGCTCTGTCATTCTGTCTTTTGCTCATTGTGACCTATCGGTTAAAAGTTATATAGAGTTCTCATGTAGTCTAGAAGTATGAATTTCTTCTTTTTCTTTTCTTCCTCTTACTTCTTTTGCTCTTTGTTTTCTTTTGCTTTTTCTTTCACTCTCACTCATTCACTCTATTTGGGTCAAATGGTGGAATTGGGTTTTCCGAAAGGACGCCGATTCTAGACAAACATGACAACTAGTTTTGGAGATGATGAAAAAGAACAAGACACCGATTGATTTCTAGCCAAGAAGGCTGGAGAAGTATCTTTCCAAAAGTGTCCTTCAAACTAACAAAGTGTGTTGTAAAGTTGCAATTTGCTAAAGGACGTTTTGATATAGTGTGGTTGCATGTAGATTGAACCTGTTTGATTCAGAAAGAAATCCACATTAGTTTTCAATGCCACAAAGAGAACAGTTAAAAAAAAACAACTAAAAGCCTCAAATGAGCAGCATTCATACCCAGGTAAGTGCTATATTCTTCTACTGGTCTTACTGGGCTTATCACACTCATGTGATTGACTGGAATCTGTGAAGGGAAGTGAATCTTCCAGCTGATCTGACCTTTCCACTTAACTACAGCTCTAATTACTTTTTAATTACCAGCTCTTGTCATCCATTTACTGAATGACTGCCCTGCAGTGAAAAACAGAGACGTTACCTTTAAAGTACTCTTCTCAATAAGATCATAGATGTACACTGTATTCTTTAACAAAACATATGTTCAGCCAGACCTGAAGAGTGCAGACGCGTTTCATCCAGATATAGTACTTCTTTTCACACATCAAAAGCTTTCTTCTTGTGTTTTTAGAAGATGGAACGAAGCAAGAGGTTGCACTTTACCTCTTGATCTCACCTATGTTGTGATCACAACCCCCCCCTCCCCACCGATCAAGTCACTCCTCACTGCAGAGATATGTAGTTCCCCTGGGAAATAAGAGATGTTCCAGCTTTCCTCTTCCTCAGCTGTCACCAACACGCCGGCTTTCAGCGTGATTCCTGCTCATTGTACACAAATCAGTTCTTGTGAGGTGGGACTCCGAGTGCTGATCTGTTTGAGTGTGCACTCCTAACATTTGTGCAGGGAGATCATAAGTATTTGTGTTGATGCACTTAAATGTTCTAGTTATCAGCAAAACATTAGTTAAATATTAGAAGGGAAGGTATTCTGCAAATGGGATACACCTTGTAGTTCAGCTGCAGCTATTCATTCATGTACTTGACATTGTGAATGATATAAATTAATCAATATCTACATTAATAAAAGAAAAAGTGAACATCAATTTGTAATTTCCAAGAGGAGATTTAAGACAAACTATTTAAATTTATCTTTTCACTCCCACCCAACACAAATGACAGACTTTATTCCACTGAATCTTTACAAAACAAGTAAATTAGCAACTTGGAGATCATCTGGAAAGTTATTTTTGCTAACGTTTTGCTTCAAAGTTAGCACAAATACTAAACTGCAAAACAAAAACGTTGCAATTGGCGAACTAGTGGCGATAAACCCACCGCTGGAAATTACTCACTACGTATTTTCCTCTAACTTTGCAGATGAGTTCAGTAAAGCTGCTGCGGCCACGTCTCAGTGGCATTTTGTTCAAGCTGACGTTCGAGGAGCAGGTGAACAACATCCGGCCAGACATCATGAATGTGACGTTCGCCTGCGAGGAGGTGAAGAAGAGCGAAGGCTTCCGCAGACTCCTGGAGTTTGTGTTGCTGGTCGGCAATTACATGAATGCTGGCTCAAGGAACGCACAGACGTTTGGCTTCAACATCAGCTTCCTTTGCAAGGTAAGGCTCTGGCAAAACAGAAGAAAGTACTTTGTAGAACAGTCATCTGAAATAGATTGTTTCAAATGTTGCATCTGTGACGCAGCTAATTAATATACAAAGTTATTATGATGTAAAAGAGCAAACAGTATGGTATACATACAAACACACTTAGATACAATGTACAACTACTGTGCATCAGACAAAATTTGTGTCACGCAGCAATGTTTTAAGGTTTTATTATACAGATCCAAAGAGGCAATCTCCAGTCGCCTAATAGGAAAAATTGTAGTTGTCCTGAATTTGGCAGACACACTCAGTCTCTCAGTGAGTGTGCAAATCCAAATGCATAGAAGAAAAATATTGAAATAAACAAAAACATGCTCCCCACCGGCACTTGTTGTAAAAGCATGTCATTACCTTCAATACCCAGAGACTTGACAGGGTTTCTAATACCTTTCAAACTAAGTTCATCGAACGAGTTAGCTTGCAGCAAGGCGTCTGACGACTCCATTTTTACGACTCACAACACGGTTTAAATATTGTGTTGAGGGAGAAAGTAAAATAACCTACACATACCTGCTCTCTCTGCTTCAAAACATAAACTTAAATAATTACTTTTGAAGTCATCAGAGAAAACCAGCGAATTTTGAGCTGACTTGTGGAGTAAGGCAGTTAAATCGCTAAATGTTTGTGTGCCGAAGAGTTTTTGACTTTTATTGATGATATTCTTCTACAAATAGAAAAACATTTAAGCATTATTTAACTCCATCATCTAGATATTCATCTAAGACAAGAGACGTTACCCTATTACTCTAAAAGCATCCCTAATATGTACCAGAATCTGCAAAAATGTACACTTATTTGTACAGCATCTAATTAGTAGTTGCAGAAGTAGGAGAGTTGCACTTTGTGACATAAAGCCAATTTGAGCACACTATGCTGGCATGCAGAAAGTCATTACAAGTCCTAAAAATTTGATTTTATGTGATTAAAGGTAGAGTATGTAGTCAGGCGGAAGGGAAAATGAAACAAAACGTATGTGTGTGTATTTATTCAGCCCCGTTTCTGCTCACTCTACCCTGTTGCGGAGAAGTTTAAAGTATACCAACCTAAAACGTAACATAAATGAACTTCAGCATGTCTTGTACATGCTTTTACTTTAAAATTAAACTAGTTTCTGTCTGCAGCATGCATTTGTGTTTTCTCAGAAGTAACTCTGTTCTCTTTGCTCTCCTGGTGTGGCTCATTTCCCCCAAGCATCTCAGATCAGATTGAAGTTTGTTTTTCAAGGTTTGAGAAGCCACGGCTGTCTTTTGCACTGCACGATTTTTAACCAAACGACTGAACAGAAATAAACGGTTCTCTTCGCAGTCTATGCTTGGACTTATGGGTGGAAAACCCAGATAAGAGAGCAATAAATGCATTGTGAAGACTCCCTCCATTCAATGGAGACTTAAAGCCTGTTTGGATGATGTAGAAAAAGCTCTCCTGTGATGAAGGCAGCGTAGTATTCATGCAAGCCGAGTGAATCAGCGTGGAGTGTTGGTGTAGAGCCGGTAAACGCCTCGGGGGGCTGATTGGGCCATTATTGATGGACAAGAAAGAAAAAGTATGCTTTCTCACTTTAGTCAATCAAGTAAATGGCCCCCCGGGTGTCAGGTCTAGGGTACCTAATGCGCTCATCAGCGAGGAGGTTGATGATGGGAATGTGCAGGGGGGGGAAGGGCCCCTTCTGACCCACCTTCGCCTTCGATGTTTAGCTCCTCTGCTTTAATTCTGGTTTTGTGAGGAATGGAAAGTTTCCTGAAAGCGAGCTTGTTCTCATAAGCCCTCTCCGCTCATGGCCACGGAAGAATGCCCACAGAATCATGTCTGGAATGAAGCTCTTCCAGTCGCTAAAAAACACTTGCACTAAACCGAAAATCCTCTATGCGAGACATTCTCACTATTGAAAATGCCTCAGTGGTGCTTGGTTAGGAGAAACACAGAGCAGAGCCTAATGCAAAGAAAAGGAGCTGTAAAGAAATTAAACTGAGAATGGGTCATAGGGATTGTTATTTATTAAAAACTGACCACGTGTGCACAGGTGTATCTCCATAAATCTGTATTTTACACACATAAAAAACTAAATGGCAACATCAACTTTAGGTTGGAGGATCAGGGGAAACAATAATATATTTTGATATTCACATTAATGTAGTAGTTTAAAAAAAAAATTCAGTGCAGTTTTTCAAAGGTATCAAAGATATGAAGAAGTAATTGTGCTCTTCCATTGTATTTCTTCTTTAGTTGGGAAGGGGGAGAATGTTTATCAGCTCCGTTCAATAATTGAACACCAAATGGCAATGATTCATGTTCCGTTTAAGTTCAGCAAAACGGGCCGTCTATTTAATTTAGTTGTTGAGTGTGTGACAGGGAGCCGTACACCCAGAATTAGTGCATCAGTGTGTTTAAAGGAATATCTGTCTTTAAAGTTTAAATAACTGCAACAATTACCAGTCTCATTATACACTTCCTAATGAAAGCAAATCCATCTGTACTGGGCTTCACATCTGTCTCTCTCGTATAGACGGAACCGTTGTGGCAATATTTGTAAATTTATGCAAACACAATGCTTATATTCCTTTTACTTATTCACCTTTATGTACAGCTTCATAAACGGCAATAAAACATATTTGTTATCTGCTGCTGCCTTGGCATTAGGAATTAAGTTGACAAATCAACAATGATGCTAATATGAGGATTTTCCTTTCCTACCACATCTTCCTTTGCCATTAATTGCTGCTTTATTTTATTTTAATTTTTAAGTGATACATATGCTAATAGGGAGACTTGTTTTCTTGTAATGTAGCTTAACTTTCTAAATGATCCTCTAAATTAATGTGTTGCACTCACTAGTGAAGGATTTGGAATAATTTTACCTCCAGGCTGTTTATGCTGTGAATTGAATCATATCCCTGGTGTGATTTGTTGCCAAAAAACAAAACAATGGGGTATTGTTTTTGAGTCAACATCCAATGAAAATCTTTATTTGAAATTGAAATTTTTTTCACACAGTCCTTCTAGTTGTTCCATTAAAATAGGATGAGATGTGACATATTGTGACTGTGGCCTTTGTTTTCTGTTATTATGTCGTATACAAATGAAAAAAGTTGATAAAGGTGCAGAGAAAGTCGCTCGGGATGAAGTTAGCGGTTGCTGCTTGCTGCTGCTCGAAACATGTGACATAAATAATGACCTCCATAAACAAAAGCACAAAATTAAAAAAAATGATCCATTGTTGCTGTGCAACAATGGATCATTCCAGATATTTGGAAGTTATTTGGAAGCTGGAAGAGACCTCAAAGTAGTAAAATCAATGACATATAAAAACATTTAATAAAACTCAAATTTTTTTCCCAGTTATTTGAAAGCATTAACTCAAGTTTATAAACAAAACAAGAAGTCAAGCTCATGAGGTATTTGGTGAAACCAAAAACTGTGATTGGCTCGTCATCTACTGTTTACTATATTAGCTACAGCTAACACAATTAGCGCTAACTTGAAGTCAAAGCAAGTTGGAAGTTGACGGGCAGATGTTTGAAATGACGATGAAGTGTCTTTAATGTTCACTCATAAAACTGGTGTGGTATGCATTCATACTTCTACCACTTTACTCTGACACCCCTAATTAAAATCCAGTGTGCCAGTTTGAAGAAGCCGTGGTCGTTGGGCTGGCCTGCATGTGGTGCCTTCCCAAAGCATTCAGCAATATGCTGATGAATGTCAGGGTAATGATTTCCGATTAATAACCAGTTAAAAAGTTTCTAAGTGTTTCTGCCACAGATAATGAGTAGTCTTTCCAGCTTCTGTGGGAAAAAAAAAAAATAGAAAATCATTATTTCCATCTCGACAAGAAAGTTTTATTGAAAGAGTTGCTTCTGGCCTGATTTTTTGGCATTCAAACAAATTAGTTGTAGTTTCTTAATGACTTCAACTCTTTATTGTCTTTTTACCTTCTAAAACTTTTTATGGTGCATTAAACAATAAGTGTCACCGAATATATTACCAAGATACAGAGCCTGAAGGTGTGGTACTTAAATGAAATTATCCAACTTTAATTGAGTTGTTGGAAGATCTCAGCGATATGCATTTGCTTGCAGTGATCTTCGGACGTTATTTGCAATATATTGTGCAGCTCTAATTACAGACATATACTTCAGTGTACTTTATTGAGGCGTTTAAGTGATTGACAAAAAAAAACAAAGTAGTACATAATCATAAAGTTGAAGAAAAATCATGGATTCTTTGCCAAATGTGCAGAACACAACAGGCAGACAGATGACAACAAAATGAACACTTTGTGTAATGGAGACGGGAGCACTGACCATTCCCCTCAACGCATGTAATCCGCCATGAAGCACAGCAATGGCAGAATCATGCTGGTGAGAGTTATTGGGAATGTCAGCAAAGTTAACAGTGGGAATAGTTTAAAAGAAAACTTGTTACGGCAGAACAAAAACCCGAAACATAAAGCCAGACCTGCACTAAATTGATTCATATTAAATCAAATTCAGGTGTTGGAATGGCCTATTCAAAGACCAGACCTGTGTGAATAGTTTTAGATGTGAACTTAGCAGGAGAAATTGACCCAAATCTAATTTTCTTTTTGCCCATATTCAACCCATACCTGACTTTTTCATTGCAGTCTGAACAACCCAAATCCGATTTTTTTATTTATTTATGCCACTTTCATATGTGGAACTAAATCAGATACAAATCCAAGCGTTTCAAAGTGTCTGCAGTCAGAACGGTCATGTCGCATTTTGTCTGACTTTCTAGTCATTGATGTGAGACATGCGTCATAATTCTGCACCAGAAGAAGAAGCCAGACGGGGTGAATCTGGAGATAAACAATGGCTGCGGCAAGCAGTGCCGACGTTTAACTTCCTTTTCTCTTCTTAGCTTTCTTCGTATAGTTATGATCTTATTACATTACTGTCGTCTCCCATTGCTCTCCAACTTTAAAATCGAGCTACAGATGGCGGGATCCGTCATTACCTAAACAGCGCTCTGCTGTGTGACTTCAGCGTTCCTCTGCTGCGCATGCGAGTTGCTTTGGGGTCTTAAACTGTTCACACAGAAGTCTGATCGTGGTCACATTTAATTAGTAGTATGAATGTCTTCGCAAAAAAAAAAAACGAAAAAAAAAAAACATTTGATTCCTACAACTTTCTCTGTGAACATCCCGTAGCATCAGCCTCTTTTTAGGCCCTGTGTAGATTGTGCAGTGAGACTGATGTAAATTATTAAACAATCAAAATATTGAATGTATTTTTATTTAAAGTGTTCTGACTATCAGATGGTTTGGTCGTCATGCAAATCATGTGAACCATAAAGCATTTATCGGCACAGATCATAATATTTCTCTTTCGAAATGAGAGCGACTTCATTGACATTAAAACATTAAACCTTTTTTTTGTTATTGTTTTCAAAGTTTCTAAATACCATGAAAACAAAAGACACTGACTAATTTTAATTAACCCATATTACCTAAAACACCAGGGTACGGGCGCCCACTGCTCTTAATGAAACCGCAGTATGGTATGAGCACCAGCTGAGCTCACGCATTCACATTTCATCAGTGAAGCTTGGGGCAATAAAACCTGTTTACACACTCCATCCTTTGCTACCTTTTCAGTAAGCCCTGTGTTTGTGAATGTTTATAAATCAAATGGCTTCTGATAGTTATGAGACGTGCGAGAGAAGCAATGTTTCTGTCGGAAGATGAACAAACCCAAAATTCATTATCATGAAAGTAACTCGTAGCTCTCTCAATAACTGCTATCAGACGGGACAAATTGTCAGATCCCCTCACTGTTACAGTATGTGTATCCTGTAATTGTTTCAGTATTACCGAAATGTGTGTTAATTAGCACATCCATTGTGTGCACATGCGTGGGCATCTCCAACTGCACCTTGTTTACCGCACAGATATCATCAGTGCAAGAACGCCGAGGTGTGTTGTGCTAATTAGCTTTCCCAGCATGCCATTCGAACTGCATTGCAGCCACAGTGGGGAATGAATATGGAACAAGTTTTCTACGTGCTGATGTGAAGAATCACACTAACAGGTGCTCTGCTGATACGATGGTGTACTTTTCACTTTCTCACAGGTTTGAGATGTTATATATAACTACTGGTTGTGTTAAATTACATCTGTGAGCCCTAAAATTATTACCACTGACCACTGCTTCACCCCACTCATCTTGCGCCAGGATGATTTTTTTTTTCTTTTTTGTGAAAGCAGACTACAAGCACATTACTGATCACTTGGAACCTAAAACATGTTCCCTCTGTCACATGAATCAATATTTGTACAGTAGAAGTGAAATGTGTCAGACTGTAAAGTGGGGGGATTTTACTGAAATAGATTTTCCTCCATTTATTCATCAATGAAATGTTTTTTAGGGGTTTTTTTACCTGCAAAACTGCAATTGAACGTATATTCTTTTTTTTTTTCCTCCCAGCTACGAGACACTAAATCCATCAGTCACAACACAACACTTCTCCATTTCCTGGCTGAGAAGTGCGAAGAGAATCACCCAGAGATTTTGAAGTTTCCAGATGAACTGGAGCATGTGGAGAGTGCCAGCAAAGGTAGGCTTCTCTGTTTATATGAGCTAAGTTGTGTTCCACAGGGTACTACATGTCTGTCTGGGATAGGAAAACGTCTTCACTGTGCAGAAACTGAACAAAATACAGATACGAGTTCACTTTTTCCATTATTTTCTTCTTGCACTATATTTTTAGCACATTAAGGCCTTCCACGTGCACATTTCCCTCGACGACAGCTAGCCGTCTCTGTTTGTGACAGAAATAGAGCTGTTTAGTTGGACCGTGCTGTCATTCTCCCCGTCAATAATCTAATTCCACTTTAATTCCTTTCTCCGGCGTTCGGAGGAATCCCCTCAGGCTTATTTACTTTGTTAGTCTCTTAATTGGTCATTTAATCTAATTCAACTAATTATGCACTTGACTGAGGCTGCCAGCCATTGTGCTAGTCAAATGAAATAGTCTTCAAGCATTTTGGGCAGAAGGATGTCTGTATGATCGCATTTGGAATCATATAGGCGTCCGATAAGAAACCTGTTAATCGACTCAGCCCAGAAAATAAATACCTCAACTCGGCAGATATTTAAAGAGACGGGAAGTGTCTTGGACACACAACACATGCAGTTGCATTCAAAAATATTCACATCTTTTTACCTTTGTACTTTTTGTCATGCTACATCCACGTTTAAAGCCGTTTTAGGTTGCTTTGATAAATCTAATCATGTCTTAACTTGGTCCAGTTAAAGTCCAAACTTAAATCTAGTGGAGAATTGGTGGCAAGATTCAAAACCAAAGCTATTTCTTGCGACCTGACTGAACTGGAGCTGTTTTACAATGAAGAATGAACCTGAATTCAAGTTGTTTTCTTTCCTCTTCAGAACTATGTACTACTTTGTGTTGATCCGTCACATAAAATCCAAATAAAATTAGTTTCGGTAAGTGTTTGCTATGTGACAGAATTTGAAGAAGTTCTGTCTCGATGACCACATATAGCTTTTCAGTGAGATGCCTTCAGCAGCTTTACATGACCTTGACTGGACCAATAGTATTCAGTATAATTAGGTGTTTTACACAAGTACCGTTTAATCATTTTTCTGTCAGCAGCTTTGATAAATATTGGAGCTTAATGATTTAACAATCTATTTTCCTGGATTTACTTTAGAGCAGATGACAGCAGTGATCAGAAGACACGTCATGTCTGAATATTGCTATTGATAGATTTTAAAGTTGCTATAGATTGCTTGTGTATGTTTTTACTTATTTATCCAAGCCTTCAAATTGCCTGAGGTTTGGATAAACCTCATGAGTCCCCAATACAAGATGTATTTTCACCCTCAATACATTCAGTATCTGTACTCTCTCAATTTCAGGTTAATTGGTATTTTAAGTGACTTTTCTTAACTACATATTTCTGGTGAGTTGCATCTAACTTTGTCACACAATTTTTATTTAGAACTGACAAAAAAAAAAAAAAAAACCTCACATTTATTCATTAATATATCCATCTATTCTGTGAAACACAGCTGCTGTTTATTTGGACAACTGGTGGCTGATAAAATAGTCTGATTAGAAGAAAATAGCATTGTAATTATAATTGTTCTTTCCGCCATTTAACAACATGAATATTATAAAACAATAAAGCATCCACTTTGCACATGTAATATGGGGCAAGCAGACAAGCAGAGGATGATTAAACAATAAAAAGGAAATTGTTGTACCTTGAATAAACCTTTGTTGAGCCTGTCACCCACTCGTCTGATTCATTTATTGTTTTGTTTTTGTGATTGTTGATTCTGAAAAGCTGGTGTGGGAGAACTCCATCTAAAGGACGATTTCTATGAAGGTCGCGGTCAGATTTAATCAAAGCGTCATCTTCCCTTGCAAATATTAAACAATTAATGCATGTGATTTAAATGTGCAATCAGCCCGGGGTAATTTAGAAAATTGTACTTTGTCCAACTTGATTGATTGCTCCAGACGGCTCCCCCACTTGTTAGTTTTTCTAAAGAAATAGCTTTGGATATCAGCTTTTTGTTTAGTTATTCCGTCAAAAATCAGCATTCTCCAAGAGTTGTCTGCACTGAGGAACATCCTTGTCCGATTGAAAGTTGGAGTCTAACAAGGAAGCAAGTCCTGCATTTCTAGATGTTCCCTTTGGCAACTCATTTCCTCTTTGGATTCTGCTCCTCTCAGATCTGCCTGTATGAAGGGCAGTTTTTATAAAATAATCATGTCCTCATGACAGGATTTAAGGTGTGTGGAGTTTTGACGGAGTCAAGGATAATTAGTTCAGTTGTTTTAAGCAATTATGTAATTTGTTAAGTTGGACAAATTCCTTTAAAAAGGTTAGCAGAACTAATATGTTTCTAATTTGTAAATATTTTTTATGTGTGCCTCAGTGAATTACTATATTATTGAAAAGTTAATTTCAGTAAGTCAGTTAAAACAGAATATGCATATATTTCAATTGTTTATTTTTGTTCATTTTGATGGTTTGCAGCTGATGAACCAATATTTCAAGGCTTTGCTTTGCAACTTTCTCAAGGTTGGAGGTTTTCATTTTCATTGACCGTCTCTGTTTCCTTCCACTGAACTTTCCCTCAATGTGCTTAACTTCTCCCGGATTCTTCGGCAATAACATTTTGTTGTCATTGTCGATGAATGACAACATATAGTGGGGGTTTAACTCATTATATGCTGGTCGGGTATCGAGCGGTGTTTTTATCATCATGCTGGTACATTAAAAACCCTTTATTTATAGGACTTGGATGATATAACTTTCTCTTGAGGTTTCATTAGCTGTAATCATCAAATTGAACAGAAATAAAATGCTTAAAATATGTAGCTCTGTGCAATGAATCTGATAATTTCAGTTTTTTATTTTTATTTCATGAAATAACATTTGATGACATTCTCAATTGCTGTGATGCACCTGCAGAATTAGGGACTTCACAGCATATGCAGGCTTGATTCCCCACATTTAAAACACTTATTTTCTTCCCTTTCATTCCCAAAATGATGTATTCCATTCATGCTCAGACGCCACTGCGCTTGCCGGTTTCAAACATATACTGTAGAGCCCTTTGCAAAAGGTTTTAGGTGCTTTGGATGTCTGTGATGTTTACTTTCCATCTCCATCTGTGTGTAAATAGGAAGATGAGTTTCCAGTCTAGTTTTGCTGTTGCTTCCTGTGATTAAACTCTCAGGGCAGACGCGCTTTTAGTGTATGTACAGTTTATCTGCAGCAGGAACTCGTGAAATGAAGTAAAAGAGCAGTTAAAAAAAAAAAAAAAGAATTAGGAAAATGAGGTTGCTGAAAGAAGCGACGGCTTCCTCTGAAAACCTAGCACTGTGACCAGATTTTTGCATAACAAGTCACAAGACAGTCATCCCGCATTAGCAAGGTCTCTTTCTCTCTCTCTGTCTCTCCTGCTTTCTCTCTATCTCTCTCCCTGGCAGAAATCGTGCTGCAGACAAGTATTTCCAGATGGGCTGTCCAAGCTCCTCAGCAGAGGCATAAAGAAACAGACTAAAAAACACTGCTAGTCAGCCATGAAAAGTGAGTGCAGCAGACTAAAGAGACAGGGAGCTGCCGTTTTTTTTTTTTTTTTTCTTGGATTTTGAAGATTTCTTGTTGATTTATCAGTGGTAGAAAGCAGGCTGACCTTGGGACACCCACCTACTGCCCAGTGAAGTGGTGCTGATTAAAGATTGGCAGTCAGAAATGCAGCTTCTTTGATATCCTTCCATCCATGTATGAAAGCTGCTTGTATTGATGAAAGTACAAGTTGTGGTTGTCAACATTTATTTGGGAATTTTTTTCCCCCCGATTGGCTCATAAATAAAGAGGAACATCCTGTTCTTGTTTTTGCGGTACTGTGTCTGTGAATGCTGTTCACAGCTCTTGCTAATTTTGTGTATGATGCATTCAATTTGCATATACAGTAACTGTGTGGCATGGGCTTCATACCAACACAGGATCTACTGTTCTCTTTCCATACCCCTGACCTCATCTTCATAGTAACCCCTGAGCCTTCAGAGAGGTGTCATCGGCCAATTTGCCTTGTTAAATTTACCCCAGAGATGAGCATGTGGGGACTGACAATGGGTACTAAGTCTGTGTGGTGATTCCACTCAATCAGTGGCTCAGTGACGATCCGTCTTGACAATCCGGGAAAAAAGGAAATATGACACGAATGTTCTCATAAATCCATTTAGTATAAGGCATAGCCAAGGGCAAAGTACTTTGGAGCTTGTGAGAGAGAAAATGGAGAATGAGCAAAGAGAAGAAAAAAAAAAAAAAGATGAACTCTGAGGATATTAATACCACTGTGAATATATCTATTATCCACATTCATTTCAAGGCACTGCAGCATAATAAAGCAGTACCCATTTCCCATTTAAACTCTGAAGCAGTACTTGGCTCTGCATTACGTAGACAAAATGGCTTTCTGGATGGGGTGGGACACAGAAAGGATCATTTGTCTTTTGGTCTCCGTGGAATTGCAAGGAGCTGTGGGGTTCAGAAGATATTCCCTCATGCAGGCAGAGGGTAGCGAGTATTTCACTGAAATCAGGAGCAGCCGCTTGAGAATCCCTCTGAATTATTAAAACTAAACACATAAATATCACGGTGGTTAAGAAGCACCATTTCATTTTGTGTTGATGGAGTTAATTATTTAAAAATACATGTTCTAAAATTAGATTTATTTTATTTATAACAATATTTCTTCAGTTACTTTATTAAGTTTTTAACTGAACCACTAACTTTGTCGCTTGATTTAGAAATATTAAATGAAATATTGGGGAAATTTACTCTGTGTGCCCTTTCCTTTAAATCTGTCTTTCGTGTAACAGTGATGAACATTATTTTCCATGTTCTTGTTTTCACATTTAAGCTGAATAAAATCTAAGTTGTCCATTGATATTAGCCTGAATAGCAGTGCATATCTTCATGGTGTTACAGAGTTTTCAGTGAACATAATAGTATGTGACTCCAAATCTTCAGTTTATTGGTGCTAGCTTGTGTTTTTACATTTTGTACA